TATTTTAATTTATTTTTTGGCATTAGTTTCACCTCATACTCAAGAGTTCAAAAAAAAGAAAACAAAAGAAGAATTACAAAAAAAAACTATGATTGTAGCCCTTGGACCAGAGAAGTTAGTTAAAAATCAGTTTCCTATGGATGTTGGAAGTAATCTCTTTTAACCATTTAATTTATTTTTTCTTTGCAATAAAATGTGGAGACTATGCACACATTTTAATTATTTTAGGAATGACTTTTAGACAAAAAAACAATAATTGTTGGTCATTTTGAAATTGTATAAATAATTTTTTTCAATATATATATATATATATATATATATATATATATATATATATATATATATATATATATATATATATATATATATATATATATATATATATTGAAATATATATATATATATATATATATATACATATATATATATATATATATATATATATATATATATATATATATATATATATATATATATATATATATATATATATATATATATATATATAATTTTTTTCAATATATATATATATATATATACATATATATATATATATATATATATATTATATATATATATATATATATATATATATATATATATATATACATATATATACATATATATATATATATATATATATATATATATATATATATATATATATATATATACATATATATACATATATATACATATATATATATATATATATATATATATATATATATATATATATATATATATATACATATATATACATATATATACATATATATACATATATATATATATATATATATATATATATATATATATATATATATATATACATATATATACATATATATACATATATATATATATATATATATATATATATATATATATATATATATATATATATATATACATATATATATATATATACATATATATATATATATATATATATATATATGTATATATATATGCATATATATATACATATATATATATATGTATATATATATATATATATATATATATATATGTATATACATATATATATATATATATATATATATATATACATATACATATATATATATATATGAGCGCGGTACTTCCAGAGATGCGGTGGGAGTCAAACTTCGAACCTCTTGCATACAAAGCGAGCGCTCTTACCACTACACCACTGCCGCATAAATTATGTGGCAAGTTTACATTTTATTATTTGGCAAGTATTTGCAAATTTTGTTTTATTTTTAGAAGTTGTAACAATAGGTTTGGAAAAGTTTCAAATTCTGATATAAGACAGCAAATTGGAAGATATTGTAAAAATACTCCATCGCGGAAAAATAGAAACTAAAATTTATTTTTTATTGTATATATTATATGTTATATACATTGTTATATAGAAAGATACTTTATTAAAATCCATCTAACTGTATTATATGTCCCTTTTAACTTATTTTTTTTTAATTTTATTAATTAATTTTTTTTTAATTTTTTTTCCTCTATATTTATGTTTCTAATAAATGCGGCATTAATTTTATTTAAACTAAACACCTAAAAGTCTTCTAAAATAAGACTTCTTGAGTAAAACGTTTTTAAAGCGCTTGGGTAAGACGTTTTTAATCTGTCTAGAGTAAGATGACTTTAAGCTATCTTGAGTAAGATATCTTTTCGACGGACAACCTAGACTTTTTTAAGACATCTTTAAGACGTCTTGAATAAAACGCCTTTAGACCATTTAGTTAAGACGTTTTAAATCAGTCTTTAGTACGACAATTTTAAGCCATCTTGAGTATGACGTCTTTTCGACGGACAACGTAGACCTTTTTAAGATATCTTTAAGATATCTTTTTTTATCTTAAAAAGACGTTTTTAAGACAGCTAAAAGATGTCTTTTTGTTTGCTGGGTACTACTACTTCTTTTAAATCCAGTGGTTTTTATTAAATTACCAAGTTTAATAAAAGTTAATATAATAAAATACAAAAGTAAAAATTGCTAGTTTTTGTAACACCTTTAATTTAATTTTTGTAAGTTAATATTTCAAAGTATAAAACTCAGAAATATTAATAGAGTAAATAGTTAATTTGTTTTATTTAAAGGTTTTCCTTTTTCAAATACTCTGCCGCTATTGGTTGCAAAATTTTTTTTCGATTCCGCCTTTAAATCAAAGCCTTTTAACCCTATATTGCATAACTTATTCCACAAATGATTAAAAAATTTTAAAAACCTATGAAAATGTTATAAAAGGTCTAGGAAAACAAAAAATATTCGGAATATTTTTTTTACATTCTTAATTAGGCTTTTTGGGCTTTGTTGCTTTAACGCAACATATGATAATGTTTTAAACTAAGTTACAATGTCAAAGAATAATTTTTTTACATTCTTAATTAGGCTTTTTGGGCTTTGTTGCTTTAACGCAACATATGATAATGTTTTAAACTAAGTTACAATGTCAAAGAATAATTTTTTTACATTCTTAATTAGGCTTTTTTGGCTTTGTTGCTTTAACGCAACATGATAATGTTTTAAACTAAGTTACATATATACTCAAAGAATAATCTACATATATACTCAAAGAATAATTTATCCGAAGAAGATAATATTATAAATTGACCATAAAGTCTAAACAAGAATTCTAAAATAGAAATAACTAAATTAATTGTAATTAAAAATCAAATTTAGTTAAGATTTAGTTACAGCTCTTGGTTAAAACATAAATATCAAAAAATTTTGAAGTGGTCAAGGATTACTCATGAAACTTTCAAAAACAATTTGAATTAGATGTAAAACTTAAATGAACTTTACACTTCTCACAAAAAACTATCGTTATTCCTGTGCAGCCTGGATACTTTAACGTCCTTTTTTGTCAACAAAAGAAGGAAAATGACCAATATTATCTATCCTTGTGGATGGTTCAGGTAAATTTGCAGCAGGACACCCCCTTCTCTTTAATCTATGAAGATGGTAAACAGAAATGGTTGGTCCTCGTATGATGATGGTCCTCGCCTACTGCTTAAAACCTTATTAGACTGAACTAAGCCTTTTGCAACTTTTAGCTTAATTATGCGCAGTTGAAGAATATCCCCTTACGGTATATTCCATAAAACCCATGGAATTCCATGAGTAAACCATGGTTTTTCCATGAAAAACGGAAATTCTATGGAATTTCCATGGGTGAATTTCAAGAAAATTGAAATGCCACGGAATTTCCATGGGTGAACCATGGTTTTTTAATTATTGCTGCCTCATGGTTGTTACGAATGCGCTTTTAAAGATGGCGTCATAACTCGTAGAGTTACGGTTACTTTTAACTTGAGTAAACAATACTTACTGCATTCTTCTGTTTTTCTGTGTTTAATAAGACTATAAATTATATGTTTTTTATAAAGCATCACGTTTATATGATTCAAACTAAACATACAGACATAAACAACTAGATATATTTATCATATTATAATGGATTATAAAATGGATTATTTTTAATTATATTTAACTATATATCATTTATGCATACACTTATTTTAACTGTTTCCAGTAGCTTTGCTTACTTTTCATAACTGGTAATAGATTAGCAAGTATGTCAAGTAAACAAGTTTGAATTTTAATGCTTACTTGGCAAACTATTTGCTAAATAATTATTATTTGGTTTAAATCAAATACACATTAAATGTTTATAAACTAAATGTTACATTTAGTTTATGTTTAAAACTAAATGTTACATTTAGTTTTAATCTACATTAAATAACTAGTTTTAATCTACATTAAATAACTAAATATCTTTTTTATTTTTTTTTTTATAATAGCCTTAGATTACATAAAAGTGCTTGAAGTTTATTGTAAGGTTAGTTAAGTATTTAAAAACATTTTTTTATGACAAATATTCTATTCAATTTTAGTTCTGTTAAGTTGTTTTTGTCTTTTTGTTGTTGTTTTTAAATTACTTCATTATAAGCCGACAGGTTTGACTGACAATATAAATAATGTTGTTCATCGTTTATATCGTTTATAACATTGTAAGTTTTTATATGCATTACATATTTTTAAAAATAGTTCAAAAGCTGTCAAAATAAAAGAGCGAATTGAGTTTAAATTAACCAGAAAAGATATAAACGTAATCTTTGGGATTCAACTTGTAAGGATGTTCCAAGAACCACTTAGTTGGAGAAGGAAAACTGTGGTAATGTTTGAAAATACCAGAAGAGGAAGTTAATTAATGCACAAGATTTTACTTCATAGTTTATTATATAAGCATATAAAAGCAATGTTTATAAATAATACACTATTTTTCATTATAATACAATTATTTTTATTTGTTTATATTTAATTAATGTAAAGCAGCCGTGGCGCAGTGGTAGCGCACTTGCCTCAGAAACGTAAGATCCGTGGTTCAAACCCACTTCTGTGCAAGTTTTGCAACATCGGTTGGGAAGGAGGCGTGAACTTCCTATTAAATGCTCTTCCGCGGTGCTCTGTGATAAAAAAAGTGCTTGTCTTTAGTTAAAATAAATTATTTATGCACACACTTTGATATTTATTATGCTTTTACATTACTATACTTTATAAATTACATATTTATTAGATTTGTTATGTTTTAAATAATTATTTGTTATGCTTTAAATAATTATGTTGTAAAGTAAAAATATAATAACATTTTGAATTTAATGGTGTGTGCATAAGTTCTTTTCATTTAACTTTATCATTTTATTTAAATTACTGCATTATAAGCAGGTAAGTTTGACTGACAATATAAATAATGTTGTACATCATGCAGACAGCTCAGACAAAGAAGTAACCCACCCAACATTAAGTCGTCTTAAAGACGTCTTAAAGTCGTCTTGATAAACGTCTTAAAGATGTCTTAAACTTGTCTAAAATGAAACACTGTAAGACGTCTGTTTGAAGATGTCTTAAAGTTGTCTTTAAAACGTTTGAAAAAGTCAAAACATTTTAACTTTTAGTTTATGAACTATCCAAATGCTATTGGAGAAAAAAAGAGACATGATTTACTACCAAAAATTTATTTCACGCCATCAACAACAAAAACTAAATTATAATATGTTCAATCAGATTTTCGTGATGCTGGTGCGTTTTTCAACACGCCCTGAATAAACTGATGGACTGTCTTCTCTGATTCCTTTGGATATCTTTCTAGGACAGACCCTAATAAGTAAAAATTAATAAAAATAGGTCTAGAAAATAATTGTTATTTTAGAAAGTAGCATTAGAAGACACTTACTAATCACACATTTATAAAGATTGGTGTCTTTAAAACTTCTCTTTCCGCCTCTCTGCCCATCCATGTTGAAATTTCTCATGAGAAAACAATCCAACATACTAAAAAATCAGGAGGTAAATATACAATTAAAAAACTGATAATTACAATAGTTCCTAAGTAGAACTTGTTTTCTTATTAGCATTATATTAGCCCTGATAGCAGGTCACATGAGAATTCTGATTAGCAATTTAGCTGTAAAAATACAAATAAATGTTTTTAAAGCTGTTTTTTATTCTTAATCAACAAACAAAGCATTTTTACCGTCGCATAATCGTTCGAGTACAGTCACCTATGTTGGCACCTCCAATTTTACTCAGCCTTTCAATCTAAAAACAAATTTGATTACAATTTATTTTGTTATAATATCTTGGGTTCAAAAATGTTATTGTTGTTTTAGTTTTGATGAAAAGTAAAACAGTCACATAACAGTAATGTAAATGCATTATTAAACACTCTGATAGTGAATTTTTAGTTTATGTTATTTTTGGACCATTAATTAGAAGTGTGTATGTATAATATTAGATATTTTACCAATTTCCTTTTCATTGGTTCCTCAGCCAGCTGAATTTCATTTTCATTAAAATCGTCCATAGTATTCATATTTTCTTTCAACAAAGACATACTTTCATCTGCCTCAATTACCTGATTAAGTCTGAAATCAAGACGGTCTTTTAAGGACTTTACTTCCTCTGATAGCTGCTCAAGTTTAAACAATACTCTTCTTTGGAACTCTAAAGTATAAATTTTATGTCAATTAGTATATGCTCAAGTGCTCAAGAAGGAGTGGGAATTAAAAAATAATAAACATCCCCTGAAACGTACTTTATATAAGTGATAAAATGAAACAAAAACACTAACTCCCTTGATCCATTGGAAAAACAGCATTCCTCTGAGGAGCAGTGCCAGCAATTATGTCTAAATTATATAGTTTTAATTTTTTCAAGACTTCAGTATTTCAATAATATGACCCCTAAATTTATTAAATTGCTTACCTGAAGTGTTTTCCTGAGGAGATTTCTCAGGTATGCTTAGAAAGGGAGGTGCTAAACAAAAAAACTTGATTAAATGAAATTCTTATTCCTCGCTCATTTAATTTTGTGAGACTGTATGACTTTTATAAGTTTTTAAAAAGAAATTAAAATACTGTTTTGTTTTAACAAATTAAATTCTTTTTTTCAGAGTTATTTGACTTTCAATATGTTAGAAAAAAAAAGCAGGATAAAAAAAAATATACCTCTAGAAAAAGAAGCACTGGTGTTTTCAAATGTTGCAGACTTCTTCAATTGTTGAGCAACACACAACACGCCTATAAAACAAAATAATTGTGAAAACCTATACATATTCAACACTTTTAACAAATTGAATGTCGTGAATTCTATTGTCACTATATATATATATATATATATATATATATATATATATATATATATATATATATATATATATATATATATATATATATATATATATATATATATATATATATATATATATATATATATATATATATAGCAGTCATAAAAGATCAGATTCAGTTTGACCATATGAAACCACATATATACACATAAGATTGAACCCTCTCGCAGAAGAATATGCTTGCTTATAGCTAAACATTCCAAAATATAAACAGTCTAAATACAGTTTTTGAATGGGTAACATATAGTGATAGAAAAAAAATGTAAATTATAAACAACAATATTTTAACATACGCTTTTTAGATGGAGGAGATGCTGCAATACCTTGCGTTTCAAGGTATTCAAAATCTAAATTGGAAAAAATATATATATATATATTAAAATAACATTACCATATATTTAGCAGAAACAATTTATATCTCAAACATTTTTATAGTTTTTATTTTTGTTTTTACTATGTTTTTTTGTTATCTAAATTTTGAACAATGTAATCACTAGAAAATCATACACCGAAATATTAGGAAAAACTGGTTGAATTAATTACCTGAAGTGTTTTCTTGAGGGGATTTCTCAGACATGCATGGAAACTGAGGTGCTAAACAAAAGAAACACAATTAAATGGTAATGCTATTAAAAAATTATTCTGAAAGATTTTCGCTAAATTTCATTATTCTCTTCTCATTTTTAGAAAGAAATTTTAAGAACATAACTACTGATACACTCGTGAAACTAAATGTTTAAAAGAAAAAAAAAAAAAAAAAAAAATCAAGTTTAGAAGAGATCAAACCTTGTACGTACTCACTGTCTTTAACACCCCTCCTCATTTATACGCCTTCATACGCTTTTGGGAAACCCCTCCCTATACCTCCGCACGTACTTTATGGATGGCCCCTTAGTAATTTTCTAAAAGAAACTGAAAATACTTTTTCCCTAATTACATACTTTGATTAAGTACTGCATGTTACTTGACTTTCCATATAGCGCTAGAAAATTAAAAAGGATAATAAAAAATACCTCTAGAGAAAGAAGTACTACTGTTTTTAAATGTCGCAGACTTTTTCAATGGTTGAGTAACACACAACACACCTGTAAAACATATTTTTTTGAAAACTAAAAATAATTATTCATAACTTTTACAAAAAAAGACACAAATAATATTTTTGTCTTTTTTGTGCTATATTATATAGCAGTAACAGAACAATTCACTATATACAATTAGACCATACAAGACCACATACACTGAGGGTTGAGCTCTCTCACTGAAGAGTATGCATGCTTAAATACAGCTAAACATACCGTAATTTAAACAGACAAAATACTTTTTGTATGAATAACATATTATATTAAAAGAAAAAATGCATATCATAGAAAACAATATTTTAACATACGTTTTTTAGATGTAGGAGATGCTGCAATACCTTGCGTTTCTAGATAACCAAAATCTAAATTAAAAATTTTTGAACTAAACTCTGCATTAATAGAAATAACCCAAAAAATATAAAAAAGTATATAAAGAAAAAGATTCTTTAACAATGTACAAAAATAGATTCAAAATAATCACTCAGCATAAATAAATTTAACAAGTTTATTCGTTAATCTTAATTAAATTTAAATATCATAAATAATTTTTTCCATAAATAATAACAGTCTCTTACCAACTTTGTCACTGCCTGTTTTTTTAATTGCCACTATTTGATCACCGCCTAATGTTAAAGTAAAAAAATACATAACTATTTATAAAGTAGATAAAAATGTTACTAATGTTTACATAATGTTCATTAGAATTGCTTATTTGTGTGTCATTATAATTCTACAAAAAACTTACCCTCTTATATTGCCATTTCATCGGAATCTGAACTTGTTGCACATGTTGTGTATGCCCAACTTTCACAAGTATCTAAACTACCTAAAAACAATTTTAGGAAAAATGAGTTGAATATTTGATTTTGCACTAAGCCATTATTTATTCTATATAGTATTGTTATTTAAGATAATTAAGTGATTCAACATTATTATTTAATATAACTAAGTGATTCTATATAATAATTTCTGGTAAACATAAAACATACTGCCTACTTTTAGAAGAAATGTAAATTAATGTACCTGTGACCTTCCTGTGCACAAGTTTCCCATACATCCAATCTTGCTGGGGAATCTGCTTTTTTCTTAAAGCTCTTTCTTTTTTAGCCTTTGGAGGGTATCTTACAATATCTTTACCCTCCAGCCAACAAAGTGGAATAACGCCTTCCTCTTCCAATAACACTCCATCCTCATTTTTTCGTTTCCAAACAACGCGAGTATAACCAAGATCATCACTCATTTTTTAGTGTAAATTCTACTGTAAATTTGTAACAATAAAAAAAAATGTTTATTACAAACTTTGAAAATGCAGCTGGAACAACATAGAACTTGTGACAATTTTTTCAGATGCAAGAAAAAAATTTATAATATTTTAGATAATACTGACAATAAATACTAGTAAAATAAAAAAAACTAGCTGGATTTACAAGTAAAATAGAACTAGTTGCTAGAAGAATGTAAAGAAATAATATTACAAAAAGAATTTATTTATTTGAAGAAGCATATTACAAATTTACATGTATTTATATAATTTAGTCTAGATGAATAACAGGATATATAACATAGCCACTCTTATACGGTAAACAAACACATTTTTGAAGTTCATTTTTACAAAAAGTGAATTTAGTAAAATCTTGATTTTTTTCTAGGAAGTAAATTCCTAACAATTTTGAGTCAATTGGATGAACATAAAATGACTTCAAGCAGCTCTTCGCATAAACATCACATTCGTAAGTGTTATTATTATTATTTACAAATCTAACAAAAACAAGTTTCCCATCTTCATTAAAAAAACAATTATCTCTGCTACTTGAAGTGATTTTTTCTGTACTGGTTTTAAAATTGCCATCATAATTATTTTCTTCACTGATGACTCGCTTTACTATTTGTGCAGTTGGATTGTTGGCATTCCTTACAACTTTTTTTAATTTGTGCAAATAATTTTCAAACGGAAAACAAGATATTTCGTTTAATGAGAAATCAAAATTCTCTACGTCATCACATATATGCAATAAATTGTGAATGTTATATACAGTAAATGTTTTACCAAAAACTTCTTTACAATTGTTCACAAAATATTTAAGCAACTTTTTACAGTAAGGTAAAAAGCTTTTACGCAGGTTACTATCTGGATGTACTAGAATAAATACTGAAATTGAAAGTGAAAGAAAGTGTTCATAGACAGGTTCAGAAACAATTCCTTTCAAAGAAACTGGTCCAGTGTATAAAAGAAATTGTCTGAATTCAGTTGCTTTCCACTTATCAACTTCGAGTAATGATCGTGGCCTTCTAGCAAAATCACTAGGAATGTAACTTCTAAATTCAATTAATCTCTCAGATATTTGCAATATATGTGCTTGCGACAGCTTAGCCATAGGACCTTTTCGGAAATATTTCAGAATTCTTTTAACAGCCCCAAGACATATCAAATGCATATAGTCAAGGCAGAATCCAGAAACACATTTGATACCAGCAGCTATAAGAGGAGACTTATATTTCTGATGTTTCTTATATGACTGGCAGCTAAAATCTTCATCGGTTCGCTTGCGAAATTCTTGCTCTTTATTAAACACAACCCTACCTTCCCAGGATCCTTTAATAATGCACCTTTCACAGGAAAAATATCCAGTATGACCAACAGTCCCTTTTAAAAAAGATCTTGCTGGGGCATCACATAGAAAAGCTCTAACTTTAACAGTGTGTACAACTGATTTTATTGTTATACCGGATAATTTTATACAACACAATTCTTTTAAAAAATCATCTAAAAACACATCCAAACTTGATGGTTTTCGTTCCCCTGTGTATATTGCCACAATAAAAATCTTTCCACCACCAACTTCACAAAGAATCGGCCAAAATTGAGTATTGGATGATTTAAATAAAGGTAATCCGTCAATATTAAAACTAAGCGATATTTCACTTTCAGAACCTGTTAAATTTTTTTTGATACCAGCTTCTAATCCAAAATAGTAATATGTGCCACCACATTTTTGAACACACTGAAATTCTTGTGGTACTTTTAAAAGAGTTCTTGCATCTTTGGGTAGCATGTTACCATGTTTTCGAAGTATATCGAGTAAACTATTCATAGCTGCTTCAGAACAATTAAACTCTAGACACCAAGATGCAAGGTCTCCTGAGAGGTTTTCTCTACTGGTGGTTGAATTAAAAGAATTTCTGTCACTAGAACTGTCGGATAAATATTCAGGTGAATCGCTCGACCGTACTTCCATATTTTCTTCCACACGTAAATTACTACAACTTTGACTGCTAGAATGAAAATAAGCTCTAACTTCTTCTTCTTGAGGTGGTGCACAGCTGACGTTACACACATCCACACTTTCTCGAGTTTCTTCTAAAACTGATTTATTTAATTTTCTCCAGTTCTTTAAATAATCTTTTCTTGATGCAGACATATTCTTAACAATTACTTTGAATGAGTTAAAACGAATTACTACTTTAACGTATTGAACAAATTAATACTTTAACGTGCTAAACGAATTACTACACTTATTTACTAACTGAATTTACTAACGTGAAAAACTTTATTAAAACTTATATTATTTATTTTTTTTATAAAATAATATGTGCGAAAAGAATTTGGTAACTATATAGTTACCATTCTTTTCTTTTCTTTTCGATCATTAAAACTTAAAAAATAAAGTTTTAATAAAGTTTTTTAAAATAAAGTTCTTGAATTAATTCAAAACGTCTTAAACTGGATGTTCAGGAAGACGTCTTGCTGAGATGTCTTTAGGACGTCTTAAACCAGTTGTTCCTATTATAGCCGTTTTAAAGACGTCTTGTTGCAAGATGTCTCCAAGACGTCTGTTAAAGACGTCTTAAAGCCGCCTTATACTAGCTGAAGACGTCTAGACAAGTTTAAGATGAGTTAAAGACGTCTTAAAGACGTCTTATGTTGGGTGGGAAGTTTTTACTTCAAATTAAAATTTATAAGTAATACTATATTTGTTGCTGCCTTGTTCTATATAAATGTTACTAAAATGCAGGTAAAATTTATATATGTGTATAAATTTTTTCATTTAAACTTTATCATTTCATTTAAATTACTATATTATTAGCAGGCAGGTTTGACTGGCAATATAAACTTTTTATTTATTTATTTAGCCGTTCTTTAACAGGTCCCGTGCTTTATAATATATATAAAGATGGTAAGGAGGTGAAGAAAACAGGTTTGTAAATGATGTTGTACATCATGCAGATAGCTCAGAAGAAGAAGTAAGTTTTTTTTTTTAATTACAAAAATAAATAATAAGTATTAATAAGTAATAAGTATTAAGTATAATAATTAATAATAAGTAATAAGTATTAATAAGTAATAAGTAATAAGTATTAATAAGTAATAAGTAATAAGTATAATAAATAATAAGTATTAATAAGTATTTGTTGCTGCCTTGTTCTATATAAATATTTCTAACATGCAGGTAACATTTATATATGTATTAGTTTAAATTAATCATTTTAGTTAAGTTATATTATAGGCAGGAATGTTTGAATGAAATATAAACGATGTTGTACATAATGCAGATAGCTTAGGTGAAAAAGAGCTAATCTAATAATTGTTATTTATAAATAATGATATATTCATTGCTACTTTTTTTTATATATGTTACCTAACATTTGGCAACATTCATAGTTGTGTATAATGCCTAATTATAAAGTAAGTTATAATAGATAATCACTATAAGTAAAATGAATTAGTAAATAAAGAAAACTAGTTAGAATGTATATAATTGTTGTATGATGTATTGTCTAGATTGGTGAAATGGAGAATGAGACAAACTACGGTGAAAAAAATAATGAATATCAAAATGTGAATGGTACTTTGTTTGACATCTACGTGTTTCTACAGATACAGTGCAGTCGCACTTATAAATGGGCTTGAAATTTTTTTGGATTGAATATGTTGTATTGATGGTTCTTTTTAACTTGTTAAAACTTGAAGTTATTATCAAATTTAAATATACTATTTTGATCAAATAGTTAATATAAAATAATAAACATGTAAATTGTTTTATTTTCTGTAAAAATTGTTTTCTTGATATATTTCAATTGTTTATCACTATGTATATCACTTATTGTATTATATTACTTGTAATTTTTTGTTTTATTTATTTTCAGTACGTTATACATATGCATGCATATGTATAACATATGGAAGTCAAGTTTTGACATATGGGAAATCAAGTTTTGATGTTTTAGGTGCATTATAGTAAATAAATCCATGAGTTTTCCTTGGAAAGGTGTTCCTAATACAAGGAACACTTTTCCATGAAAAACTCATAGATTTTTCATGGGAAGCTCACGGGTTTCCCATGAAAACTCATGGATTTCTCATGGAAAACTCATGGGTTTCCCATGGAAAACTCATGGCTTTTCATTGAAAACTCATGGGTTTCCCATAGGAAACTCATGGATTTCCCATGGAAAACTCATGGCTTTTCATTGAAAACTCATAAGTTTTCCATAGGAAACTCATGAGTTTCCCATGAAAACGTGTTCCAAATAACCATGGTTTTTCCATGGTTTTTTTTCATGGGTTTTTTCATGGAAATTTTCTGTAAGGGTCTTTCTTTAAAGCTTGTGATTTTTTTATGACCCTATAACAGAGTATCCATGCTTGCGCTAAAATCAAATAAAAAAAATACCAAATGAGTTTGTGATACCACTTTTTAGATCGAAAATGGATCCTGTACAGACTTAACATGCCATCAAGAACCATATATGTTTTGTATGTGGACCCATATATGTTTTGCATGTGGTAACAACAGAAAGCCTTTTGACTTGAACAATTCTCTTGGTTTTTCTATTCCAACGGTTTACAATGGTTGTTTGATTCGCCGCCTCATAACTTGTTAACAATACAATACCCCTGTTATCGAACCATTTGACAGCACAAAGCTCAACGTTATCAATTGTTATAATCCTATTGGCTGCTTATCCTCTATATTTTTTTACAATTCACCTTCAGTAGGCATCTTAATTTTTGGAAGCCTATTTGTGCGAACTGTTTCAGTGCATGCAATGCCTTCGTGGTAAGTGTTTTCATCAGTTCAAACCCAGTGTACCAATTGTCAAAAAACAGCTTGTGTCATTTATGCCTTCGTACATTGACTAACAGGTGCATCACAATATTTCCAGATGCTTTTAAATCAGGCTGTCCTACACAAATATGAACTGAATCGGAATGTTTAATTCATGTTTGTGTAATCTCAAAATTTTTAACTAGTCCATCAACAATAGCTAAGATATAAAATTTGAAACCCCACTTTTTTGGCTTATGAGGATTATACTGTTTTAATGAAG